TCTTTCCAGTTCACAGGGTTACAACTAACCATCCGCTAGGCTTGTTTCTCACGTTACACAAAGCAACAAACCCATTTTGTGTGTACACACTGCAAGAGAGTTTGCCAACCTCTGCGTGTGAGCTTGTGTGATCCTTGTATTCTCCAATGCCTGTTTGCTACATTCCCACCTGACATTTTTAAGAGTACCATTAAACATACACAGAGAGAGCGAGAGAGCACATAGGTGTGAATATATATATATATATATATATATATATATATATATATATATATATAGTGTGGCTCAGTCTTATGTCATGTGCATAATAAATAAATACTGAAATCAATTCAAAATGAATGATAATTGAATAAAATAAAAACAAAGACCAATCAGTGTTTACAGTTCCGGATGGAGGTTTTCAGACTGGCATGGGTTAAATTTTGGAGCTACAGTTTCTCAAACTTTATTTCTTGATTTAAAACCAATTATTATTATTTTTGTCCAAAAACCAGAACAAGATGTTCCTGCTCCCAAAAGTTTCTTTGTAGAATTTTATCCAAACAGACTCCACCTTTTGCCCCCGGATATACAGTTCCCATCTGATCTTGGAAGCTAAGCAGGGTCAGCCCTGGTTAATACTTTGATGGGGGACTACCAGTGAACGCTGTAGGCTCTATTTCAGAAGAAGGAACTGGCCAAACCACCTCTGAATATTCCTTGCTTCAGAAAACGCTATGAAATTTATTGGGTCGGCCATAAGTCAACAGGTGACTTGGAGGTACTTACACACATATACACCCACAAACACTGGTGGAAGTGGTCTGAGGTTATTTCTTGGGTCCCAGAAATGTTTAAACCAGGAGTGGTTAAAGATCAGTCCACAGACTTCATACAGCCCTCCATGCCTCCATTTTGTAGCACCTGGCACCTTAAGTCTAATTTTTTTTTAAAAAAAAAATGAATTGTTGGGAACTTTGCATTGGCTCTTCCAGTGGGAAATATCTGGAACAAGTTGGGAAGCAGCATCTCTAAGGGCCAATGAAACCCTAGAAAATCTTCACTTTTCAAAGCCAGAGGCAAAGGAGAGAAAGGAAACAAAGGTGTTGGTTACGGGAATCAGTTGCACTTAGATCAATAGTATATTTTTTAGTGGGAGTGAGTAGCATGTAGGGACTTCCATATCTTGGGGGCGG